GTCCCACGTTGGCTCCCACGTTGGCTCATCGTGAGTTGCTTTTTCCCGGAGTGTCCGGACACAGCAACGCAGGGGCCCACCACAACTGCCGTCGTTCCACGCAAGTATGTTTTGTGTGTGTGTGTGTGTGGTGTGTGTGTGTGGGTATGTGTGTGTGTACGTTGAAAAATCATCTTGGTGCGCCTTGCCCCATTGCGCTTCACACTGGCTTTCTGTCAATTGTTGTGGCTGGCAGTCTTCCCAGCGGATGCAGCGTTTTGACCCACCCCCATACGGGCCGCCAAAGTGCCCCCAGCCCCCTCCCCTTAGGTGTGTGTGTGTGTTGTGTGTGTGTGTGTGTGTGTGTGTGTGTGTGTGTTGTGTGCCCATGTGATGGAGTGCCTTGTGCAACGCTATAGGCTTGTGCTTACACCCTCGCTCCTCTTTCCTCTTGCACGCAAACACGCATGCACGCACAACAAGCAGGAAGCTGGCATCGCGTTTGACGCGGAGTTTGAGGAGTGGCTGTCGGCCAACAAGCTGCTGCCACATGTGCAGGGCGCTCTCCACCAAGTGGGCGCGGCAGACTTTGATATGCTGACCGTGCTTGTGGATGCTGGGGATGTGAACGCTGTCAAGCTGCAGGAAATGGGTGTTCGTGCTGGCCCTGCACGCTTACTCATGCAGCGCTTTGACGAGCATCGTGCAGCAGCCGATGCTCAGAACAAGGAGGGCGGTGGTTGCTGTGCCCTCATGTGACTGCATTGTCGCTTCCGTTGAACTAGTGAACTTTCCGTTGAACTTTCTGTTCGTTGATGTTGCTGTCCGTTTGCTTTTTCGTACTTTCTGCCTTTCTGCCTTTCATGTCTGCTTTCATCGTTTGTCTTTTGCCCCCCCCCACGTCTACAATGGCACGTTGACTTGCCCAACTGGTGTGCAGCGCCGCGTTTCTTGGCGTTCGTGAAGGTTGGATGCCCTCTCCTTATGTTGTCTTTGCTGCCACATGTGAGAATGCCACATTCCGTGTTGCTTCTTTCCAAACAGTGCATGTGAGTTTTGTTCCAA